AACTCTTAAAAACTCAAAAATTTAGAAGAAAAATAGACCCAAATTGTCAATGAATTTTGAACACGTGCGGAGAACTTGCAGTGATTTCAGTGAAGTGTTATTCTTCGTCGTCGCTCTCAATAACATAACGTCGCTTTGCACCTTGTTGGATTAACTTAACTGGACCATTGAAGATCTGGAACTGACATTGAKAGATACTGCTGATATTCGCTCCAGGAAAAACACCATTTAAAGCTGCTGGGTCGCTTGAATTATTCAMAGCGAGCGAATTCGTTGTGTTTTGKAGACTCAGGCTGCTGTGTGACTGCCGTGAACTTGTTATTAACTGGCCACTGCTATTGTCTGGAGAAGCAGTTATCTGTTTGGAATTTTGCGAGTGACTTGAAGAACTCAAAATGTACGACATTTGTCGCTGATGGTGCTCATTTACTGACTTGTATGACTGGAAGCTTTGAAGACTTTTGTGACCGCTTAATTGAGCCACAAAAGTCTCTGGGGTATTTGCATCTAGCAATCGGCCAATGCCAGTCTTCCTGACGCTGTGAYTTGTGACTTTTGCTCCTTTTCTTTGGAGATTGGCTTCGTCTGCGGCTGTTTTCGAGAATTTACCGATTTCATTCTTGCCTAGGGGCGCCTTTATATACCACATTTGAGGATTTATTCGGCGGTCGCCGTGTCGTACAGCAAGAAAGAATGGAGCATCTGGCTTGTTCATTTCTTCGGGTCGATGGCTTCTGAACAGCTTATAAAACTGAACAGGACATCTCTCCGTGTTTGTGGCGTATGCTTTTGGTGTTCTTTGCCGTTACGTGTCTTGGTGCCCCGCTCATTCAGCCAAACAAGCATTTCGCGGCCATCTTGGAGAGCATCTGTCTGTAAGGAGACGTCTCCCCAGCACAATTTACGGCTCTCGTCGCGGGCTCTAAACCCAAAATGCAGGGAGAGAATCCACCACATGGTTCTCTGAAGGACTACGGGATTTTCTGCACCAAAAGCGCCATTCTGATACAGCTTGTCTTCTTCTT